GGGAAAGATTGGGACATGGGAAACCATTGCTGCTAGTGCTGTAGTAACTGACAGTAACTCTAACCTGTGCTCCACAAACTTCACTTGTATTCAGGATAATAGAAGTATAGAAACGAAAAAGCTATCAGTCATCAGACAAATGAGAGCTTTTCATATACTCCAGTTTATACCACTTGTTTTCATTACTCAGTTACAAGGAAATATTTAGTCACCGTAACTTTCTCTTAGTTAAGGTCCGCAATTCTTAGTAAAATAACAACAGAATTTTAAAGAGTATGATATTTTCATTGCCTATGGAGTATGGAATTCCAACATAATTTTATCAATGTGCATAATTTTCTAGTTTCATTTATTTATTTCTACTTCACCAGCATTCAGTATTCTGCTTCCTCATATTCTCTGTTCAGTAAAACTTCTAAATTACTGACAATAATAAAACATGTATGTTTTTGTTTTTATTCTCATGCTGTGACTAGCAAACATTTTTTCAGATGACTTAAAAATCATTTTTGAAACATCTCCTTGTCTTTTTCAACACATGATATATTTAATTCTTTAATTATTTTTGCATTATTTGCATTGCTTTAGATCAATTTAATGAAAAAAATAAGAAAAACTTCATTTTCCTATTCACTTTCATTCTAATATACAGTGTATTCGTAGGAACAAAATTCCTCTGGGGTAGTGAGGACAGGCAGTTAAAGTGACTAAGATTGTGTTCAGGCCTGTGATTTATTAGAAACAAAGTAATAAAAGTCATTTGACAATATGTTTGTTATCATAAAACTTTCATTTTTTTCTCTGAGGTGGTTTATTATTGCAATGCAGTAGAATTGTTACACAATTTCTGTTCTTCCAATCTTATATGTGTGATTTCAAATTCCCTAACATTTACAGCCTTCCATTTCTCACCAATTTAAAAAGCAAAACAAAAACAGATTGTGTAAATAAGTTCTACAAATCAATAAGAAAAAAAAAAAAGAGACTAAACTTTGAAAAGTAGAGAAAATTCTTGAACAGGTACTTCATCTTAGTATATAAAAATGGCCAATTAGTATGTGAAATGCTGTTCAATGTCATTAGTCATCAGGGTAATGGATGTTTAAACCAAAATGAGATATTACCAAACAAAACAAGAAAAGAACAATAATAAATATTGGCGAGAATATGCAGCCACTAAAATATTCACAATGTTGGTGAAAGTATAAATTGCCACAAACACTAAGAAAAAAATTCTAAAACTCCTACTGAAGCCAAAGATATATTTACCTCGTGACTCAAGAATTCTATTCCATGGTATATACCAAAAAATATGAGCAGTTATGATCAATAAAAAGGTGGACAAGAATGTTTATATTAGTTCTAGACATGATAGGTAAAACCTTCAAACAGGTAAAATGTCCATTTAAAAGAAGACCATATAAACAGTGATATTGAGGTAGGAGGTGAGATTTGACTCTGGAGGCAGGGTTCAGACACCAGACCAAATTGAAGACTAGCTGAAACACGGATGGGGAAAAGGAACTTTCCATAAAACTTACCCACCAATGTGCCATGTCAGTTAAGCACTGCCATGGCAACACCCAGAAGTTACTGCTCCTTTCCATGGCTATGACCTGGCAACCAGGAAGTTACCACCTTTTTCTAGAAATTTCTGCATAATATACTCCTTAATTTGCATGTAATTAAAAGTGGGTGTAAATATGACTACAGAACTGCCTTTGGGTTGCTACTCTGGGCACACTGCCTATGGGTTAGCCCTGCTCTGCAAGAAGCAGTATCTCTGCTGCTGCTGTACACGGTGCTTCAATAGAAGTTACAGTTTAACAGCACCGGCTCACCCTTGAATTCTTTCCTGGGTGGAGCCAAGAGCCCTTCTAGACTAAGCACCAATTTTAGGGCTCGCCTGCCCTACATCAGTATAACCACAAAATATATTATTATATGGCATTCTGTAATTCTTTACAATTCTTAATTACTTTTGTATTCTTTTTTTTTTTTTTCCTACGTTTACCTACTATCCTTTTCTTCATCTGCTTCCCAGCCAATATGAACTGCTATTGTGCCTGGCAGTTTCCTAAAACTCAAATGAATAATTTGACTTACAGCTATGTCTTTAACATTTCCACTGTACCACTGTCAACTTCCACTTAACTATCTTACCCACCTCAAACAAATATTTATAATTTATATTTTAAACAAACCAAAGCAGCAATATCATACACCAATTATAAGCTGCTTTTCTACAATGGATTGGTAGAAGGGTATCAGAAGATACTAATACTATAATTTGATGCTAGTGTGTACACTTTTAAATCACTGTTACATTAATTCTGATTCAATTTTTGATTTTATGTGATATTGAGGCCTCAGCATCAACATCTAGAAAATATATTATTGAAGAATTTTTTCTTCAATTTGAAATTCATTAAAATAAATACATACACATGCATTTAATTTCTTAATAAATCGAGGCATTTACTTATTTTATTTTTATCTT